ATAGCTGAAATAGTAATAGCTAATACATCCTGAGAGCTTACTCTGTTACTGTATATATTAACTTCTTTAATTCTACCAGTAATCTTATGGAGTAGTTACTATCACTGTTCCCATTTTAACTGAGGAGGAAACTGAAGCCCAGCAAGTTCAATGAACTTGTTCAAGGTCGCACAGTTAATAATCAGTGGAACCAGGAGTCTACCAGGTAGTATGTTTTAGATTCCATTGTCTTCTACACTCTATAGTTAAGTATGGGATTTTATGAGGCAGAGAAATCACTTAGGGGACAAAAGGAGGTTGCAGTAATGCAATGGGTGGATATAAAAGGAAGAACTAAGAAAGATGCAGAATGGGTAGGGAAGAAAGGATTTCCCAGACATAACAAACAAACAAAGTAGAATCACTTGGACTTGGTGACAAGTTGGAATAGAGATTTTAAAATACTTAAGAAACATATTATATGTACACTCCCAGTGAAAAACAACTAGTTGGAGAAGAAATTAAAAATTTCTTAGCCGTGGAAAATGATTAATTGGCTATTTAGAAGTATAGTCTCTAAAGCCTCTATCAAATGCGGCGAAAGAAGAAACTATTATGTTCTTTCTTACTGAGAAGATTTTACAGTCAAAATTCCCCATGCCTCTGGATATTCCCTTCAAAAGGCTGATTTGACTTTTATGGTCTTGAGAAACTCTGCTTTTTCATTTATATAATGTAGATCAAAATTTTGAAGGGAAAACTTTCCCCCCTTATTTTGTAGCATGAAATAAAAAAAAATTCGTGGAATGAGGGATGTCTTCAGTGTTGATATTCGAGCTTCTTAGAGTCTCCTGGGAGCACATGTGCCAAAAATGATAAGAGATAAAGCAGAGGTGTGAGTAATATTCCATGGAAGCCAGAGGCTAGAGCACCTATTGCTGTCCGTGGAGTCTGGGATGTTCCTCCCAGAGGCATTTCTAACATTGGATCCTTCTTCTCCCATCAGGTTTTTGGCTACCAAGCATCAGTTCGTAATCCTCCCAAATTGTGTCAAAGTTTTAGACTCCTTTGAGTGTGGTTTCAGTTCTGCCATCCAAGTTGTTGCCCGGCTCTACCCAATCTTAGCCCCAAAGTGAAACACCAATATAGTCAGCCGTACTTGCTGTCTTTCTCTCCCTGGCTCTTGGTCATTCAGGCCTCTGTCATTGCTCAAGCTTTCTCTCTCCTCTCTCCCTGTTCTTTTAATGTCCTGTGCCTCTTCATAAAACCTCAACAACCTTCCACACCATCATTTTATTTCTCCTTTCTCTGAATTCTTAGGATTCCTGCAGTCTGCACTATTGTGAGGAAATCAGTGTTAACTGTATTGAATCAGTATTAAGATCTATTCCTTTTAGAATATATTTCAATGTTTTGAAGGGGAAAAGGACAGAACTCCTTATAAATACCATGGTTCAAATGGAAGTATTGGAGGTCACATAGGCTGGTTACAGTTTTGTAATCTTTTTGGACAGTAAAGCTGCAAGAACCCCAAAGATGCAGTTCTACTGAGGAGAAGTTTGTCAGATGTGATAAAGAGTAGCTAAAGCCCTGTGGTGCAGCTGGCTCATCCTGGAGGAAACCTCACAGACAGACTGACAGACACAGAGTGGCTCCAGGAACACTGTCAGGCATCCTCAGCCAAACCATAGACAAGCCGAGGGACACCAACAAGTCATGACAGTAGACCAAACAACAGGGCTGTGTTCATGTGTCTGTAGAGTGGCCACTCACACATCAGTCTTTTTACCACAATTGCCACAGGAAAATAATTCAGTCCAAGAGTCAAATTCAAATTGGAAATTACACACGTGCACACACATACACAGTCTTTTCTACCTTAACTGGAATCTTTAAAAATATCCTGTAATAATATGGCTTAGTAAATAAAGCTGCATTAACTGAATGTTTGGGATCTCATAACCAGCGAAAAGACCGGAGTTGCTAACAGGTTGGGTATCATAAATATTTGGCAATTTAGAAAAAACACAGCGGAGCTATGCATTTAGCTGAAAGAAGAAAAAGAGGATTTATTTTGAGCAGGAAGATCTTGAGCACCATGAAAGACACCATCTTCATGGTGGCGATAGTTAAGATGTCTGAGAGAGGCCCATTAGTGCCTGTACAGCTTACACTCTCAGGAAAGATCCATACTTCTGTGTGGATGAAAGTATGTGTATTAAAGGGGTAAATCTTTGAATGGAATTAAATGTAAAACAGTTTGGCATCACCTGACATATGGTGGATTCTTCATACATGTGTCTCCCTTCTGCCTAAGATAATTCTCTTTTGAAATACTGTTTCTCAATACAGATGAAAAAGTTTTGTGCCTAACTAAAGGGATTCCAGGCATCAATAGCAGGTGTGGAGATTATTTTCTATAGAACTCCCTTCTCAAAGTTCCTCAATCTATGCACATGGGCAGCCTCCTCCTCTGCCAGATAAACTTAACTTGCCAAATACTTGCTTGGAAGTGTATCCATATAGTTGGAGTCATACTCAGAACCTCTCAGATGGGTTCATACCAGATCTATGTACCCATCCCCAGTTTCTTCTTGTTCCACTGCAAAACTGCTTTACATTATAACCCTCAGAGGCTCATCCAGGACAGAGCCAGAATTGCCTAAGAGTTTTATTCCTCCCCAAGACAGCAATGACTGATGGATACTGAAGTAGAAAAGCCCAGACCCCTTGTCTAGGAATGGGACAAACTTCAAAGCATAATTTATATTCCTGAATTTCCCAAAGGTTCAGACTGAGGATAGACTCACCTAAAATTTTACCCTTGCTTGCCTTCTTCTCCTTTTCCTACATTCTCACCCCTTTACTGGCTTTTCCTGGCAGTCCATTTTTAATAAGTCACTGGCATACAAATCTTTGGTTTAAGATCTACTTTTGGGAATATACAGCCTAAGATATCATTCATTCATTCATTCAAAAAGTACACTCAGTGCTTTTTCCCCAGTTCAGTGAAGAAGAGCAATATAAAGTTAGGTGAAATATAATCATGGATATTCTCAAGGTACTATGTGGAACATATAGAGACTACACATCTCTAAAGCCAAGGGGAACTTTAAAATATGAGCGTATCATCAGATCTGATAAAGTGCCTTATACCTAGTAAGTTCTTATGTGTATTAAAAGATCTGGTCAGTCCTTGGCCTCATAATGTTGACTATTGGGGAGAGCCAAGCATTTGCTAAGAATTCTGTTTTATTCACAAACTTTTATTTGCCTCCTACTATGAATTAGAGTGTGAAAACTGATAGACCAATAAGTACAATATGATATATACATCTCGAATAATGTATACAATGCTATGTAAATATGATAGAAAGAATAATAGTTTTCCAAGAAAATGGAAGGCTGGGTCTTGGAAGATAAGTCGAATTAATTCTGAACAGAAGTAGAGAGAGGCATTTTAGAAAGGGAATAAGAAGCTCCACAGTAATGAGGCGTGAAAAAGCATCGGTAGGTCTCTTGAAGAGTGAGTAGTTTGGAGCATCAAAGCAAAGTTCATATGAAGAGAGGCAGGAGATAAACTTGCAAGTGTAGGTTGAAGACACATAGTGGCAGGCTTCGGTACTTCAGAACTTTATTCTGTGGGAACCTTTAAAGATATTTAGGATTTGCCAAGGTTTGCCATAGGAACAATATGAAGGATGTGTTTGAGAGAAGAAAGACTTGGATCAGAAATACTGTTATTAGGTTAAATCATGTATAATTTTAATTTCCAACCATTTTGACCCAACAAAAATGACAATTTCATACAGGTTGAACAGATACACTAGCTGAGAAGAATAAGGCACAAAGACTAGAGAAAAGGGGTAAAATAAGAGACACATAGGAAAGAAAACTGGCTTGAAATGAATGATCTACTGGCTTCAGGAGCAGAGTAAGCTGCAGAAATTAGATGTTACAGTGAAGCAAAATTTTCTAATGAGAATGATGGAGTGAATCATGAATAGTATTCATAAGAGAAACAGGGACCCTGGAGAAGTATATAGGGAATCACACTACGCTTCAGAACTCCTGACTCTTTCACACATTACCTTGCAGTGCCTCATTTCTTTAGTTCTTTTCTTTTTCTGCTATTTGACTTTGCACAGGCACGTGATATTCATATTCCTACAGTTGTATCTGCTTCTAAAGTTGAGCCAACAAATAATGCAATCCCAAGTGCACTTATAGGTAAAGCAAATCTCTAAATAAGAATCTATGTAGCATAATATCAGAAACAGAAACCTAGTGGTCTAGCTCAGGAACCCAGTCTAACCAGATTGCTCTTTAACATATGAAGAGTCTTCTCATACAGTGGCACACAGGGGATTCTGAAAGTTTCAGAAAATAAATAGAAAAAAACCTGTTTGTTTTTTTTTACTCTGACCTCAATTCTGACCACTCTTCCAGAGCCATAGTATTTCTATAAAAAGTACTGCTAAACTTTTTCTGTTTTCTCTGAAATAGATATTGGACAAAATGTAATTTTCGTTACAAAGAAGACATGTAATTTTATTTTTCTTCAAATAACACTGCCTTTCTAAAACAGAAATTATCTAATCGCTTAACACAGTCAAGAATTGGAAAATTACATGTCTGGCTGGACATCTTGTGTAATGTCATGCCACTTGGGATGGGCATTTGTTTAAGATAATCTTAACTAAACTTCTGAGAAAAAAAAGGTTCTAGGAATCTAATAAAAAGACTGACTAAAGAAACATCGAATTTCATTTTTTCATGCTTTTTCTTGTAACCAAGAAATTCATTTTATTCTGCTATTTCTTTCTAAAGAATCACTGAGAAATGTATAAAAAGGAAATATTTTTCTTAATATTTTTATTGCGCTCAATTAATTGAAGCTATAATTTAGATAAAGCTGTTGAGGAATTGTCTTCAGGGTCAATTATACAGCATTGGTCATTTAGGTCACAGGTACTTGTAATCAGTAATTCTGTCCACTGAAACCCTCTGTCTGTTCACAGATCAGGCACCAAACAAACAACTATGCATCCAGCTCCACCTCCTTACCCCGCCAGTTCTCCTCAACCTTGATGTGGAGTGACCAATTGGAAAGGTGAGATTTAGAAGCTTCTTGATTTTACAGCATAGCCTTCCCCCAACTCTCTGTTCTGGTCTGAACTCATGCTACAAAGGCAGACTATTTTTATGAATTAAAATGGAAATTAAGTTTGCATATTTGATTAAGGAGGACTAAATTTCTTAGAGGAACTGTTGTTTTTATAACTTCACTTAAATTTCTCCAACTAAGAACTTTCTGAAACTGGCTCCAGTTTAATCTTGTGACTGATCATCTATCGTCAAGAAAGACCCTGCATGTCATTGATTTTTCATTGTAAGAACAATCTTCAGGAGTATTTTAAAGCTAAATTACCCCTGATTTAATTAGACATCAGAACTGAGTATATTCATCATGTGGTTAGCATACTCTTACTTGGCCTTTTGATTAGATCTATTTTTTATAAAACATGTATTACAATGAATGAACACTGCAGAAAGCAGAGAATAATGCCAAATGTGATGCACCTTTGGCCATATTAAATTTCAAGCATTAGTTTCCTCCCTCAAATACCTCTTTTCAATGTTTCTGTTATTGACTATAGGGTAAATTGAATGAATAACCTCTGAGTATTATTGCTGGTATAGACTTTTTTTATTTTAATGAGCAAATGTGAAAAGTTCTGGACTTGACTTTAATGAAAGTCAGTATGTTCACTTTATTCATTTCCAGGATAAGGCCAGGTACAATAACTTTTCTACTCAGAATAAGTCGTTATGACGGATGTGAACATTCAAGTAGCTAAACTTCTTTGGCCATTTGTTCTCCCATGGTTGAGGTAACTGAGAAATAATCATATCTGTTTTTCAGAGGAAAATCTAAATGTGTTTTTCAGTAGGGATATACTGTGCAATATGCCTAAAGGCTAAGATTAAGCTGATTGATTCTAGAACGTAACTTAAAAATCACTAGGCCAAAAAAATTTTTAATCAACCACATTATTTGGTCTTACATCCTTCCTTAAATATCAGCATGTAATATACATATTCTGGGCATTGTTTTGCTATAAACACTGATTCCCCTAGATAACAAATAAATGGAAAAGAATAAAGATACACAGTTTTTATCTCTTTATTGGTAGGCTCACTCTAATTTCACTTTTAATTTTTTAATGTAAATCTTATTATACTTTCCTCTCATTATAAAGATAAGTCAGGCTCTCTATAGAAACTTTGGTGGAAAATAAAGAAAATTAGGCAACTAACTAAACTTTACTTTCACTACTCAAGAAAAACTTACCATCTTTGCAGTATATTTCTCTCTTCTTTTCCCCTGCACTTTTACTTGATTTTGTTGTACATACTTATGATAACATTATATGTGAATTATTGTCTTGTTTTCATTTAACATAAAATAAGCATTTCCAGGTAATTAACAAATTATTTAAAAATAATTTTAATACTTATACAATAGTCTATTGAAAGGATATACTATAACTTACTTAATCATAATCTGTATTCAAATATAGCACCGTGATGAACAGAACTAAATTATTGTCCAAGGACTGAAACAAAGAGTGTTTTTAAAAATATATTTGTGATTGTTTTTACCATAAGTTTACTTTAAGAAATAAAGGATATGTAAAAATTTGTTTTTTATTTATATTTAAACAGACACTTTGTTTTTTTGTCATCACTAGAATTATGTGCATAATTTTAATATCTTTTAAAGATATATACAGTCTGACTACTTCCAAAAGAATTATAAAGATTTAAATTTTCATCATCAATGTGTGAGAGCTTCTGCTTTGCTTCACTCTAACTAGCACTGTATGTTATCTTAAAAAACATACACACGCAGTACTTTGTTGGTTAGATAGGAGAAAAACTGTATTTCATAGCTATTTCAATTTGCATTTCTCCTTATATCTTTCTAGCATATAGCTATATACTGATTGATTGGGGTTTGTTTTTATGGCAACATTGTTTGACCATTCAATGTGTCTACAATTGATATTGCTTCATTATTAGATTATTCTCCTATATTGCAAACTTGGAAACCAGAAAATTTACCAAGAAAAAAAGCATATACTTAGCATAATTAAATGATCCAGAGGCTTGAGTGATTTAAAAATCCAGTTATTTAAATTGCTTTTATTTAGAAAACACACATGTAATTACTTCAAACAAGAATGTTTTGATATTGAAAACATTTATACTTCTTACTTACATCTTATTCCTCTCACCCTCCCCACAAAAAAGTATCCCTATTCATGTTTACTACATATTTTTCTCTCTATTCTTACAGAGATGAATTTTTTATTGCAATTACTACTTCCCCGAGTTTGAGTATTTCTTCCCACCTGAGAAAGAGAATTTTATATTTTGATTTAGATTGTTTATTTTTTATCTTTTCTTATTTTAATGTTTTTTTAATGTTTTTTTTTTTTTACTCTTGTCAATAGTATCCATTGAGACCAGATTTATTGCTATAACCCGCACTTCTGAATGTTAAACTGTCTTCTTGGACTGGATTTTGAGTACATATTTAAGAAGTTGGGCAGGATTTCCCAGATGATGATTGATGAAAAAGTGAGAAAAAGAAAAACCCATTTTCCAGGAGTTTGTCGCCAACTTCAAACCTTTACCTGAGTTTCAATCGATGTGGACATCTGTACATTATGTGGTTGTTTTGATTTTATAATGAGTTTGAAAAATTAGTAAAAGTTGTTGACAATGTAAAGTTATCATATTGAGAGCAAGAATTCAATGAATAGGACAAACTTTATAAGAAAAAGATACCAGTTGAAGGCAGGACTGTATCAAGTCAAAATATATTTATGCAAAATGTGTGATTAATGTTTTGAAGATGTATCCTTCTGAGCTAAGTTTGAAATTCAAAGTCCTTATGTCTATATTCTGGTTATGTGTCATTTAGTAACTCAGGAATCAGTTTAATTATTTCTCTGTCTTTGAAGACTGAAAAGAGTGATGGAGTTAAGGGCTCTCTTGAAGTGTCATAGAAAGCGATAATGAGGCTGGATGATTAACTGTTGAGTTAAAGCAATAAAAAATCCAAGCACAGCCTTCTGACTTACCATCATAAATTCAGGATTTCTTAAAATTCATTTTCTGGTGGCATAAAAAAAGGCAAAATTAATAAGTGACATAGTTATCAAATATCAAATTTTATTACTTTCTTATGAAAGAAATCTATTTTATCTGAATTGAAATAAGAAATTCTGCAGACCTTTAGAAAAGACTTTGAGCCATCTAATATCTTTTAGCTAATATGATCTTAACTGCTTATAAGTCCAACCAGCCTTCCTTTCTCTCGCTTTTATTCCTCCCCATCTCTTCCTTCTTCCTTTCCCTTTCCTCATTTTATTTAATTCAACACATATTTATTTAGTGTCCCTTCTTTAAGAACTGTACTAAGTAAGGGCCATACTGTCACCGACAAGGACATCTTGAGAAGAAAAGATAATATGATATCAGCATTTTTGCCATAGAAGCCTATACTGTGACTCCATTGTCATTTCAGCCAACTAAATTAAGCCAAAATAGTTGATTCATTTTTCTTAAATAGTTGAACCAGTTGTGAATTAGCCATAAACTATAATTCTTTTCATTCACATCCGTATTTGAAAAGGCCTCATGGAACAACCACAAAGCAGTATAAACAATGCTTCATACAATTTCTTGATTCCGGTTTAAATTCAACAAATTTTATTGAGCAAATAGAATTTTCCAATCATCATAGGAATGTCCATGCTTCCATTACATCTATTTGTCCATTATCCATCTTCACGGTTGTCTAGCTGTCATCTAGTTATTATTTTATTTTTACAAAATAGGGTAAAGTTTTGAGAGGGCTTCTCCAACGTCATATAGTTAATATAAGTAAGAAATCAGATCCAAGGTCAAGTATTTTGATTCCAGGTTTACTGTTCTCCCCATAGCACAGTAGGATGTAAAGTTTGTTACAATAATATTCCATTTATAAAATAATACGATATAGTTATGGAAGCATGGGTTCTGGAACTAAACTTAGATTTAAATCTGGCTGTGCCACTCACTAGTTCTGTGACCTTGAGAAAATTAATTAATCTCACGGAGTCTCAATGAATTAATCTATAAACCAAAGCTAATAGTAGTTACCTGTAGGGTTATTGTGATAATATATGTGAAGTGAGTGTAACACAATAGGTACTCAGTAAGTATTTACTGTGATTAATTCTTTATCCAAACTTATCTCCAACTATGTAATATGATCTCATTGTCAACTATAAACTGGCTGCCTGACTGTGGGAGTTTAAATGTCATGGACAGAATCAACTTTAGGCCTCTGAATGCTATTCTTGTTTATAATATCTCACGATTATTTTTACCCATGCAAAATCTAACCACCTTCCCCATGTTCAAGTCTCACCTTGTCCTTAGGCCTTAAACAATTTAAGTACCTTTGTTCTCCTCTCACTTCTATTCCCAACTCTGAAGTCGTATCATGCTCATTTTGATGATTATTGATTTATTCCTTAAATATTTTCATTCTATATATCTTTTTTCCCTTGACAAAATTCTATCCCATGGTGGTCAGAACCCTCTTCTTATATTTTCTTAATAGGTCTCCCAGCACTAGTGCAGTATTTGACACCAAGAGAGATGTAATTTTGTAAATTCTCAACAAAGGAACAATTTATGTATAAGACTAGTAGTTGCAAATGTCAATGAATGTGATAGAAAGCCCTTTGTTTCTATGTCGTTGTTCAACTTGGTAAATTTCATGTTAAACTTTCCTGATTTAAAAATGCTACATCCAGGCAGAATAGTCACATGAAGTTTGACATAACAATGTTTATTGAAGCTCTATCTGTGAAAGTGATAAAGTAATAAAATGATTGGAAAAGCTTGAAAAATAATGACTATATGGCAAAGATATTTCTCAAAAAACTAGAAATGATCTTTGTCCAAATAGGTTGAAATATGATATAAAGACAGTACATATTGGTAAAAAATACTTTTGATACTTTTGTTTTTAACCCCAAAAATGTATGC